TGGGGCCTGGGCGCTGGCTCCGCAGCCGCCTGCTGGTGAGGGGAGTCCCACGAGTTTGCTTTCTTCCTGAGGGGACGAGTGACTGGCCTGAACGCTGAGCCTGTTAGCTGGTTTTGTACGTGTGTGTATATATACATAAAAATACGTACTTATAATTCTGTGCAAGAGACCTTATGGGGTGGTCACGTTGCCGGCAGGCTCGGCCCAGCTGCTTTGGATGGGTTGGGCCTGCAGCCTGTTGGGAGCTGCCGGTGGGCCCGGGGCTGCCGGTGCCGCCTGGGAGTGGCTCCGGAAGGCCATGTGCACACAGGACCACGTTCCGTGCTTACCTGATTCCCGTGGAGCTCGCTCAACACTTATTGGGGCCTTATTTTTAGGTTTAGTGGGGATATTTAAGTATCTGTGTGCTAAAATGCCATTTTTAATAAAAGGTGAGAGAGTTGGAAATGGTTATGACTATAATGCCATGTTGAATTATGTTATGTTACCTATAAAATGCAGGAACTAATAACAAGGTTTAGATCATAGTAAACGTAAAGCTAATGCCTAGCAGAACCTTTTGCACAACATTGTAATTTTTCAGGTATTTCCTGCTAGCTGTTACACTGTAGGAAGTGTATTGAGCCATACATAGGTGAATCTAGGTATAAAACCATCTGAATTGTAAGATAAATGATAGATGAGAGACAAAAAGCAAGCGCCTGAGTGAGAAATCATTTCTCTTTCTGCACTTGCCAGAAAAGCTAAGGAAGATTAAATATGTTGTAGTTGTGTAAACACTATGTAGATGTGCTTGACGGAGAGTGACAGATTATGAAACTTGTTTTTTATGACTGTGATTTCTAATTGTTTATAAAAAGGTTGTTTATATCATTATATGTGGAGGGAGCAGCTAGTGCCTAATTTCACTAATTCCTATGTTTTTGTCATTCTCTGAATAGAACTGGGATCAGATCTACTGCTTAATTGTGAATTGAACACCACTGAAAACAGCAAACTGTAATGTGTAATGTTACAAAGTACTTCAGAAAATAGGAGTTAACTTTTTTACTTTAGCATTAGCAAAATATTATGGATAAGAACTTTCAAGAAGAACGGTTTACAGGAATTATTAAATTTACACCTCCTTTGTACAAACAACGCTACCAGTTCATTCAAGATTTAGTGGGGAAATACAAACCTAAGAAGGTTGGTATGTTTTGTCTTTTGTATGTTATAAATTTGAAAAAAAGTTAACATTAGGTATCTCAGGGAGATAGGAAATGCCTAGATAACCTGCTGACCTAATTACCAAACGACAGTAGTGGAGGAGCTGTTGTTAAAGCTGAATCGCCTTGGTTGTTTTCAGGGATGCACATAATTCATGTTAACTGATGGGAAGATCTAAACAAGAAAAATGTCTTAGCTTGTTTTGGAGAGTAGGTGGCATTCTGGTTCTAACTTGATGCTGAGAATTTTGGTTCAAGCTGCTTTCATTGTAGTTTAGGTTTGTCATGGTTTAACCTGGCAGGCAGCTGAATACCACACAGCCACTCGCTTGTTCCCCACCCCCCCCAGGGGATGAGGGAGAGAATCAGGAAAAAAAAAAGTAAAACCTGTGGGTTGAAATAAAGACTGTTTAATAAAACAACAGAGGAAAATAAGAATAATGGTAAGAGAATATACAAAACAAGTGATGTACAATGCAACTGCTTACCACCTGCCAACCAATGCCCAGCCCATCCTCGAGCAGCGGTCCCTGCCACACCCCCCCCGGCCAGCTCCCACTGTTTCTATACTGGGCATGAGGCCCTATGGTCTGGAATAGCCAGGTTGATTTACACTGAGAAAGAACAGTGGAGTTTGGTCAACTACCTCCTAAGCATACAGGAAAGGATATCTACGATACATTTGATGATGTGGTCTGAATATCCCTGGCCTTCCCCGCTTACAAATTAGGCTTAGCCTGTAAACTTGTTTTATGCAGATCCTTTGCTGCTAACCTGGCTGCTGGTGAGCCTATTCTCAGTGTTTTAGATGGAGAGTAAGCCAGTGAAAAGCAGTGGTGAATGTGAAAATTGCTGCAGCTTTAATACTTAAAAATCATACTTTACAGTTATTTGAGGGAGTATGCCTTCACATGGAAGGCGTTCTCCGGAGTCAGTGGGATGTTCTACACGTACTTGTTCATAGCTGTCATAACAAAAAGTTAATCCATTTAAAGCCTCTTGTAGGATCATCATATATATTTTTAAAAAGAATTTTCAAATCCATGTCTACCCTGCTTGCAACTGTAAGTTTTGGTTATGATGGTGAAATGCTTTATCATTAAAATGTTATTTTGACATAAATATGGAATTTTTATTTCATGCGAGTCTCTGAAATTACTTGGAAATATGCAGCATTTACACATTGTTTAATATCTAACTACAGGTGGCAGATTTAGGATGTGCTGACTGTACGCTTCTCTGGATGCTGAAATTCTGCAGTTGCATTGAAGTGTTAGCTGGGCTAGATATCTGTGCAAGTGTAATGAAAGAAAACATGTAAGCTCTTGCATTGTGTTAATTTAAGGTTTATATTTGGCATGACCTAGTGGCATGTTACATAATTTCTTGTCAAGAATTTCAAATTGAAGGTAAATGCAGAAGTACCAGCTTGGCATGAAGGGCTATCCGTTACTTAGTTATGTTCACCTGTGTCTGGGCACTACTGGGCTTTATGCCTGTGCCCATAACATCACCTAATGTAGCAGAACTCCAAGTCATGGAATGGCACCGCAGGCGTGTACGTCTGAGAAACACAGTTTGTAGAGGTACTAACGCGCTGTACTAGTACTCGTACATGACATTACTGTGGTATGCAAATCTGATCTTCTTGAAATGTGCGTGTAACTCTTCTAGTCACTGTGGTGGGGACTTCGTTCTCATTAATCTTTTCAGAATGGGAAGATTAGCTCGATGTTTTCTGTCTGGCTTAGAAGGCTCTAAAGTGTGAAGTTTGTGACCTTTGAAGCATGGGTCAGAGTGGTGAGGAACACCAAAGTTTCTCTCTTGGAAGCTGATTAATATGGTTTCAATGAATATGTAGAACTAGATGCTGACATTATCACTTGCTCTTCCTCAAGCATGAAGAAAAGTAGCCCTTTATTATATTCAAAGTTTATTGTGTGTTTTGTCTGATGCAGTATTTCAGGATGAAATTTGTACATACATTTTAATTCTCAATCTATTTTTTTTGGGGGGGGGGGGGGGGGGGGGTATTTTTTTTTAACTTCCCCCCAAACCCTGGAAAGTGCATCTAAGCCAGACTTACTATGTGTCTAGAGTTGAGCTACCATCAGAATGTACAAGCGGCTTTGCAAGTGGCTTGAGAGTATAGTGGAAGTTTTTGTAAACACGAAGGACAGCTGCTGGATTGTTCTGTTGTAGATAGTTGTAGAAAGTGTGTTAGAAATTATTCTTTTTTAAATTCCTGTTAAATAGTTAACCTTTTTGAGATTTACAAGGTATCTATGTAGGGTGTTATCTAGTTCAGTTACATGCATGATTTATCTTGTCTAAGGTCCTTTCTATGACATAGTGTTTTTAATACTTTTGTAGGCATAGGTTGTCTCCTCTTCCTGGTGATTATTTGCAACCGGCTGAAAGATCCCTAACTGTTACCTTGTATCATGGTTCAGTTGCCCATAAAGATCCTTGCATGCTTGGTTTTGACTTGGTAACGTGTATTGAACTGTGAGTATTAGGCTGACATGCTACTTTTTTCTAAGTTCATTATGATTCAGTTTGGAGTTTTGTCCATACTCTAAACAGACTTGATCAAACCTTTCAAGCAGAAGAGTAGCAGAATGTGGTGTTTTCTAACTTGTGCTTAAATTAACCATGCCAAGAAATTCAAGTGGCGCTAACTTATGGTGGAAAGAAGGATATTGAAGAAAAAGTACAAAATGCAAGAGGAAGTTTTCTCAGACAAAAACTTTTAAACTGCCACTCAGCCACAGTGCCAGTGCTAATATTGCAGAGCTAGACTTAAAATTACAAGGTACAGGTGCGGGCTTGGGATTTTTTTTGACTTGTTGTTAAGAAGATTGAAATACAGTAGGGTGTTTTTAAAGACATACATAAACTTATCCTTTACAGAATAGAGCACCTGGAACAATCAGAACTGGAGAAGTTTCCTGAAGTGGTGTTTGGTTTCATGGCTCCAAGCATAGTTGTGATCAGTACTCCAAATTCTGAATTTAACCCTTTGCTTCCAGGAGTGACATTATTCAGGCATCCAGACCACAAGTTTGAATGGAACAGAGTGCAATTTCAAAGCTGGTAAGTTTACTGAACGTGGTATGTGGAAAGCTTTGAGTGTTCAGTAATGTGAGAAAGGAATAGCTATAAATTTTCAGAGTGGTTTGTGTATGTGGTTTGGCATCAGTGAAGTTTCACAGAGACTTAATTTGGTAAAACATTTCTTGGCTGTTACAAATAGTTAAGCATGCTCTGTGGGTTTTGCATTTTATGGTGGCTTTCTTTTCCAGTAACTGCAAAAAATATTTAAAGCTTTTACTTTCCTTTTTATATATCTTCATTACAATTAGTGCATTTGAAGTGTAAGGTATTAATTAACCTTTTCACATAATAATACCTTGCTATAGAAATGCTTCATAGAAACCTAAGAAATATGCTCACTACGTATGGTGTGTAGTCAAAACACTCAGTTAGTCCAGACCTTTCTGAAAGAGTATGCAAGCAGATTAATCAAATAATCACAGTAGCAGAGTATGTTGAGTAAAGTTAAGGAGGGTTTAGTGGATCATGGCACAATGAAAGATTTTGTGTAAAACATATATACATGGCAGAGGGTTGCATAAGATGTCTTTTACTCTAGTTAGACGTAATAAAAACAAAATAAAGAGGGAGTGGGATATATAGCCTGTGATAACATTCAACTGTCAGGCCATTGTGGAAGAAAATATATGGTACAGTAAAGGATGCCATACCTCAATAGCCAAGTCTTGGTCAGAAATTGTGTCTTTGAAAATTTGCCTCTTTAATTAGGTTTTTTCTGCCATAGACTTTGAAGTATACAGTGATTTTTGAGTATATAGTTTTGCAAAGCTTGAAGCATATCTTCTTCCCTAAATAATGATACTAATACCTGCCTGCATTATTAGCTAAAGGTTAAATACCTTAGAGACCATTTATATGACAAAGTAAATTTAGATTCCACTTTCGGATATATGTGAACTAAAAATATTTGTATCACTGAAGGAGTGATATTTTTGAGCTGCAAACAGGAGAATGTCTTTACGTTTGTGTTGTGAAATATAAGTATTGCAATAGTCTCTAAAATACATGAGATACTTAATTTTACTACTTTTTCATGGAGGATGATGCGGGTAAGTGGTTCTATTTTAGTTCCCTGTCCCATCACTTTTTTCACGCTGGCTTGAGGTACAGTACTGCAAGACTTGTTTTCATTTAGATGTCATGGACACTGTTGTAACCTTGTTTAGGTAGACTTCATACGTTTGCAACACAGTTCACTTTTTTTTTTTTCTATTAACTGATCTCTTGTGGGTTTGGGGTATGTATGTTTTTTATGGGTTTTTCTCAAATAATTTTATTCTTTAAAATTTGTAGGTTTTGGCTCACTTTAAATACATTTAAGACAGTGAGTAAGAAATTGTGAACATGCATATTTTATGCAGGTGTTTTAGAAATAACAGTAAATGTTTGCTTGCCTAAATTGCTGATACTGAATGATTCAGACTATGGTAGGCATATGATTACAGCTCTGATTCAGCAAGTTTTGACAGTGCTTGTCTTCAGGCATGTCAGTATTCTTAGAGAAATTACGCTCAAGCATTCACATTGCTTCTCTTAGAGAATGCACCTTTATCACAGTAAAAGATGAGTATGCTCAGAATAATTTGTCTTTCTTAGGGCACTAGAGACTGCTAGAGGCTATGATTACGCAGTGGAATTTACTGGTGTAGGGCACCCACCAACAGGAATGGAGAATGTTGGGTTTTGTACCCAAATAGGTGTGTTTGTTAGAAAATATCCTCAAACCAGTGAATCTGCTTGGTCTGAGAAACCCCCTGAAGCAGTTTACAAAACAGTAAGTAGTATTTTCTTTCTCTAGGAGGATGAATAAAGAGTAAAATTTTCTGTGACCTGCCTGTGAAGGTGTTCTTACTGTGGTCTGCTGTTACTATCCAGTCTTAGGTCTGATTAATACACACCTTCAGATCAAAAGAGTGACTCCATGATTTGTGTTTCTGTTAGCAAAGGCCTTAACTTTAAGGTTATTTGCTAAATAGCAATACGGATAATCATCCTTATTTTAGCATACTGTTATCCTTAGAATGAAAATTCTCCTTTCCATCAGGTATACTGTGACACTATTTTTATAATTGTTCCTCTAATAATTCATTTTTTCATCATGTGGTTGTTGGCACTGACACAGATTTTTCAGATGTAAAAAAAAAAACCATTTTTGACAGTGTATGTTTTGAAGAAATAATTAGTCTTGTAAAATGTTATCAGAAGGAAGGCATTTCCCAGAAATTGGATTGACAGGACCTGTTTTGTGTGGTTTGCCTTACTCAGTAGCATTTGATGTTACGCCCTGATCTAGGTGTTTTCAGATAGCTAGTTCTGGTTTTTGCAAAGGCATGGGATCTTGCCAAGTACCCCATTCTCCAGTAGTGCACATCAAACTTCTGGGTTTTAGCACTAAATGGCTTTAACTTCAGATAACATCAGGTAATATTTTTGTAAATTACTCTGCTGTGTGTTGCAGTGTGTCATACCGACAAAACCTAATGTGTCTAAGTGCTGTGTGGTATAAATCAAAGGACTTTTTTTTTTTTTCAGAGATAATATGAAGTAATAATGCAAAAAGAGAAATGTATTGGGTTTTTTTTTTTTTTCAATCTTATGAGGCCTTAAATTACTTGCTTCAGTGAACATATGCTAATATTTCACTACTTTGGTTAAAGAGATATATATGTATCTTTCAGTGGCTCGTGACCTGAAGTGAAATGTCAAGTGAAGTTACGGGAATGTCTCTTGTAGTTTCCAAACTATAAAGACATTCTATGAATTTGAAATTTCACCTGTCATCTACTGCCCTTAATAGAATTGTGAAGTGCTCTTTAATGGTCAGCAAACTTGGAAATGGGTCTAGGTGACTGACATGTACTAGGAATTGCTTTCATTATCTTCTGTTCCAGGGTCATTATGGAGGGAGTTTTGACATCAGTATCCTTTGAGTTTAAACAAAAGTGTTGTATCTCATGTGTTTCTTACCAAACCTGGACTATCAAATTAATTTTTATTTTATTATGTAACTACTGGAATAAATCAACATTTCAAGATTTAATCAGAAAATAGTTACAGACTGTGGAACTTCAGTGGTAGCGTGTTGGTATAAAGCACTTCCTAGTAAACTAGCGGGAATGAGATTGCCTGCCCAGTGTCCTTAATTGCCATGGAGTCTAGCTCAGTGTAGAACACACAAGTTCACAGATTTTTGATGTCACAATTTTTTAGCATTCTCTGCATCTGTGAGAGCATATTTAATGTTGTACTCTGAAAACAGAATGAAAGACATATCTGCAGTGCTGGTTTCCAGATGACAGTTCAGAAGTAGTTTAGTATCTATGTAGCTGTGGAACTGTCACCAGAGCCTCATGATGATTAAATGTGCAAAGTAAGAGAATGATTAAAAACTAAGAGTTGCAGGGCTTCACCCTGCCTGATCAACAAGTATAGCTTGCAGATAGATATAAGCCTAATTTTTTTTTAAGATCTGTTAACTTGCCATTTAGTTGTAATACATAAAATCAAATCATACTGTCTGGTTTTCCTGTTACCTGAAAATGTTTAATAAGTAAAACAGGATAGAATCAAAAATTATGTTCACATTTTAGAAGCGCTTTTTGACAAGCAAATGTTAAAATCTGAGTCTATGATAATGATAATAATTTTGTGTGTTCTTATGTGTTGTAAAGGTCTTCAAAGCAGTGTATCCAAGTCTTAAAGATGAGAAGTACCTGCAGAATGTAGTGGTCGGTGAAGTTATTTTCACAGCACAAACCATTAAGCGAAGTCTGCTGGACCGTTTAATGTCAGAACATGAGGAGTATAATGATGATCCTACTGAGAGAAAATCCAAATTCCAACCTCCAGTGAACTGCTTTTCAGACAATCTTGGAAAACTGGTTGTTGAAAAAAGCATGGAACCATCTGTCATCGGAGATGTGGTTTATATACCTCTTACAACAATCTTTGCTTTTCCCAAAGTGAATCAACTTTGTGGCACCTTTGAGAAGTTATGCAAACTTATTGCTGGCAAGGTCACACTGAGCAGTGATGGTTCTGCTGTGATGTTCAATACTGAACATGAAAATGAAGAGAATTAGATCACCGATTTCTCATACAAAGTTCAGTTAAAGTAATGGAAGTATCTTTTTTTAGTAGCTGTCAAACGGTGTGTTCTGTGTGCTAACTAGAACCACAAAATCTTTTCTAAACCTTCCAGTATTAATCCATGAGCACCTCTCTCATTTAGTGAAGAGTGCTTCTGACAAATACCGCAGTAACTCATGGGGATTTGAAGTAGAGTACCAGGGGCTGAAAGGAGAGAATTAATTCCCCATGAAGAAAAATTTTAAGTATTTCTGGTGGGTTTTTTTTTCTATTACCATATTGTAACTATCATGACTAGATTCTTTTTGGTAATCTTTTGTTCGCTGCAGTGATAGTTGATGCTAACACAGAACTATGTTGCATGAATAATATGTCAGATATAGGTTTAGGGCAATTTTTTTCTTAATAGAATAAAAAGTATAGATGCCTTTTTCAAGAGGAGTACATGCTCAGCCTTCATGAAAATCAAACATTGTTCCAGATAAACTGGAATATGCCACAAACATTTATAGCTCGGTAAATTCAATACTGGGGAATTATGTTTGACGTAAGGTGGTGGTGGTGGTGGTGGGGGGAAAGGTAGATTTAGCCCGATTGTTTTATCCAGTTCCTTGATAACTGCTGCTTGGGAAATAATTTGCATCCTGTAACTTTCTAGAAGCTGAATTTAATTAACTTGAAACTGGTATCTTTGACTAGTCTGTTTTTGAAAAAAAAAAAAAAGAAAAATATAAAAAAATCTGTCATTGTGAATGCTCAACTAGCCCTGAAAAAAACAACTATGTGTTTTCACATGCAGCTGTTGTCCAAAAAGCCTAAATCTAAAGTTAAACTACAGGTGTTTGGCCCTATCTGTTCACAGTGTTCCTTAGTATACATATGTATACATCTGAAACTGAAGAAGCTATTCCATATCATCTATAGAAGTGCTATTTACATTTTAATTGAGAGTGTTAGATTTTACTAAAACAAGGTATGCTCTTTTCTGTGCCAGCTTTCCAGGCTTTGACTGGCTTAAATAAATTTTAATCAAGATTGTCTTTAAAGTACTAAATTAACTGTCTTTTCAGGAGCTTTTAAACCCTCTTACAGGACTCATTGGGCACAGCTCTTCAGTCTCAGGTTGGTCTTTTTGCTTAAACTATTATGCATATTTGTGAATAAACACAGTATTTATTGTGTCCCACTCAAACTTGGGAGTTTGACCAAGGTCAGTTCTGATGTCTCAAATCAGGATACTAAAAGGAAGCTTAGGAAGATGCAGTGTTTTAGACTTGTGGCAGTATCACTGACCAGGAGATGGCATGCGTATCTCAAAACAGATCAACCCTAGGTTCAAAACTGTAAAATCCAAATAAAGTAGAATTAAAAACAAACAACAAAAAAAGTAATGCACTATCCTGAATATAAGGGATATAACTTGATGGCAGTTGAGCAAGTTAGGGATCGATTATGGTCAGAATAGCTGAACAGAATGTTTCTGATCAGTGCTTTAAATTAATAATAACAAAGTGAAGTGGTATAAATGAATTCTAAAAATAGCCCCTCATTTTAATAAATAAAAACCAACTGCCTAATTGTGAGAGCTTCAGGAGTTAATTGTCTGTCTCCCCAGAGACTTCTCAAATAGATCTCACAGCTAATAAACTTGTGATATGTTTCAGTCCTGTCTCCCATGGATTTCCATGGTACTAGGCTCTGTTCCATACTTGCTATCATTATGTTGATAAATGAGGTTTGGATCATTCAGTTACACTCCTAATGGGTATTTGTTTGGACTTCCTTGTTTTTCCTACTTAAACTGAGCAGAAGAAACCTAGGAAGGGGCTTCTGAAGTGACAGAAAATTCTTATGCAGAAGTCCTTTGCATGTTCTTCCTCATTCACAAAACACATTTTAAGGCAGTCCTGTAAGCAGGCAGTTCACTGGGAATAGCCCCAAAATAAAATGCATATACTCACATGAGGATACTGGGGAAACAGTAGATCATAAGAGAAGGCAATTAAAAAAAAAAGCCCCAACCAAACAAAGCAAAAAACCCCCTAGTGCCGCCTTTACCAGTATATGCAATTTTAGTTCTGATCAGATGGTGCATACAACTCTGAACTTAGGCAAAGCTTTGCCAGCTTGTGCCTAGAGATTTCCCTTCATACAAAAAAAGAAAAAAGTTACTTATTTTCTAGTTTTTAACAAGAAAGCAATAAAGTGAAAATAACCTGTTCCCCAGAAATGTTAACAAAGGTGTTAGGATGTGTTTGCCTTTCCCCTTACGGGCAGATCCTGTAAGGTAACTTGTACTGTAATTGGCTGCAACTTTTACCAGTCTGGTTGATGTAAGAACAGATGCTTACTACAGTACCAAAATGCTTGGTTATTTTGAATGCATTGATGAGAAGGAATACATACCACAAGTACTTTTGTCAGAAAAATAACAAGGTAATTTACAAAGTTATACCAACTGTATGTAAAAGTTTAAGTAGTAGTTAAGTCTCTACGCTCACCTGAGGAAGATTCCTTTTGTCATTTGCAAGGTGAAGGGACTATACACAGTACCCTCACTTTCCCCTAATACTGCTAGCTGTGGAGTCTGCCTAATAGTTAACCTACCGATATGTCTCACACTTTAAAATTGATTTTCATTTGCATAAGAATCACATTTTCCTCTCCAGGAGACAGATAAATAACTATGTACTAATAGTGGTGTCATTAATTAATTTGTGGACTGGAGATGAAGTTCTATAAACTGCAGAGGTAAAGCTTGAAAAGCAGTAGAGAAACCAAAATGGACACAGACTTCCAATTAAGTTTGTAATTTTTTCATTTAAAAAATTACATAATTGTTTAGAAACATATTTCAAGCTGAAGACATGAGTTTATTGAATGTCTGAGATAGTTGCATTTAAATACAGTAAAAAAACCTACCACCACATACCAAACAGTTGATTATTCTCCAGTATTCTTATAACACAGTTTGCAAAAAAAAAATACTACATCTAAATATGAAGGTTATGTTCCACTTAAAATAGGGACAATTAGAGAATGACTTCATAGAGAGTTGTAACTCAAAGCGAGAACAATAAATTACTAGAACAGTTTTATTAAAAGCTTGATTTCCACATAAACTCCCTTCCTATTTAAAAGATCTGCTCAGGCAAGAAAATAATTGGTTTCTAGTAAACAAAATACCTCATCTATGGCGTTAGCTGTGTCTTAGCATAGAGTACACACCTGGGCTATGGACATTCCCTTAAAAGTAAGTAGCTGTACAATGTTTTTTTTAAAGTCTTTTCCTCAGACTATGCCTATTTTTCCCAGTAAACTACTGTCTAACTATTACTGGTTTTAATAGATTTGTCAACAAGTATAGCAGTGTTGTGAGTACTGAAAGCAACTTAATTTATTCAAATTTCATGCATCTTTTGGCTTGCAGTACGATTTTTTTGGTACAAGTCAACAGAAAGTGAAACTATCATGCTCTGAGAGAGAGGTGTATACCAGCAGATATGTAGTTTCTGTTTAAAATTCCTGTGGAGGACAGAAATGGATAATACCACACTTGATTAACAGCAGCTAAAATATAATCTTGGTATTAATTCTTTTACTCATTAGGACATGGCAAAGATTCTAATTAACAGTAGGAAATAGAAGCTTTTAAGTACCGTAACTGAGTAAGAGCTCATATTAATCATATTCAATAACAATACTCAAGCTTTAAAATCTGAAACTTCCTTAAAAAACACAAATAAAAATTAGTTTAATAACTCTAATAGATTTAAGAACTACTGGATTTATGGAAAACAAAGCCTGCTTTTCCTAATTTAACCTATTAAACATGGCCTATTGATACCCTTTTATTGAAGTATAAAACATTAATCTGAGCAGAATTTGAAGCTTTCCGAGCTTTCAAAAATGAGCACACAATTTGTGTTTTTATTTAATCCAAGCCTTACTGACAGTACAACAAATTGTAAAACAACTATGGTTGCTTGCCTTTTACAGTTAAATACAGCAGAGCCAAGCCTGAATTAAGAGCTGTGTCACCTGACACATCCCTTTGAAAACTGATTCTTTCATAATTCTCAATGGAAGTTTTAAGAGGTGTCTCATCGTTCTTGCCTGTCAGGCAAATCTTATTTGTGCAAATTTAAATACAGTACATTGACCTTAATGTAACAGTGGACAGACAGAGAAGGAAAAAGCGTTCAAAAAAATCTGCTGCACAGTAAGACTTCTTCAGAGCACAGAGTACGTCTCCAATAAAGTGCTTCTCTTAGTAACTTGTATTGGTAATAGTATAGAATTTTACCTAGTTTTAATCTATTTACTCAGCAACTTAAACTTTAATCTCCCTGTGCCTCCCCCATCCCAAAGGCACATTCAAGACACAAGCAAGGCACTAAGTAACTGTGAAGGATTAAGTGGTAGTAAACTACTGCCTAGGTTTGTAAACAGCACCATCCTGCTGACTCTCAAGGTTCATGCATTATTGAAGTGAGTTTCCCTGGAAGCAGCTTTTGAACTCCAGATTGAACAATCCAGCCGGTTTCCTTGATAATACACTATTGTGCCTTAGTATCTTCATGTGGAATCCTACTTTGTCTCTCGCGCCAGTACAGATGTCACATTTGATGCATTTAAGCACCTAGCCTTCATTTACAATCAACACAACTGGTTACAAGCTGGTTTAGATTGTTTAGTTGTTTTTGGGTTTTTTTTTAAATGCATGCGAAGTTCACCTCTACTGTTCAAGCTTACAATGAAGTTATGCCCAGTACTCTTCAAGAGAGGGTTTTGGTTATGTTAAAGCTGGGCTGTTTTGTGGAGGCCTTAATTTTGACTTGATATTAATTTGACTTGATAGAAGTAATTAGCTTCTGTAAGACTAAAATAGCAGGCAGGATCAAACTGAGTAATTAATTTCTTCAGGTTCATTTAAGACCAACGTTTAGAAGCTTCTTTAGAAAAGAAGTTACAAACAAGGTACATCACCACAAGTGGTCTCCTGTATAAAACACTGAAATGGGATTCACTTCCAAAAATGTTTCATACAACTTAAAAAGCAAATAATTCCACTAACATCAGGTAGAGCTTACAAATATAGTTTAAGTGCTCGAACAAGGTATATACACATAGCTGAACATTGCCTTCATACCACAGAAGATGAAGCTCTATAAGCAAGAGGCATTCCATTACTTTCCAAAAAAAAGATCACATTGAGGTCATTTTGGCTTTTGCAACTCTTGCAACAGAGCAAAGAAAAACAGAAGCATCAGCACCACAGAGCTCCAAGTTTTCCTCTTGTTTGTCACTCTAGGCTAACGCTTTATCACCACCTGCTCGTATGCTCCAGATCCTACTCTGAAAGAATGTTTGAAAGAAGTTAGTTCAATTCCAATTTAAATGGAAGCTAAACAGCAAATATCACAGAACAGCAAATTTACTGTTTAAAAAAACCCCAACACCCCCCCGCCCCCCCCCAAAGAGCTCGTACCAAACCAGCTAAAGGTGAGGGGTAGGAAACATGCCTAATCACCGTGCCACTGGGTAACCCACAGCGTAACGCGTTCTAGCGTTTTGGGTTACACTACAGTCAAAGTGAAGAATGATAAATAATGTTACTGAAAAAGAAGTTACTCTTGGACTTCTCTAGGGTTCCTTAAACATTATCTTTCTAGTACTAGCTGTTTGGGTGGGGGGGATTGGTTGGGGTTTTTTTTGGGGGGGGTACCCCTCCCACCCCAGCTACATCATACTCAGCTAGTACTTTATATGCACATTTATACTTAAATAGATAAATGGCTCTAAAAAACGCCACTAAGTTACAATCTTCTTACGTTAAGATACAAGAAAAACGTCTTCCAGTCTTTGTGCATGCTGAATTGTAAATGCACCGTTACAAAACTGTCTCCCCCCTGCCAGAACATCGTAGGTTGTTTTACATGGCAAATTGCAGTGCTATGTCAAAAATTTGTTTTACAATTTTCAGCACATTATCAGCTGCCTTTATACCCAATTCCAGCAGTACCTGTTGAATTGCTGAAATACTGATGCTATGCTAATTTTGTGAGATAAAGAAAAGTCTTGAAGAGTTACTCTGGACTGCAGAATCATGGTATTAGAGCATATTCGTACACATTTTCAATGTTTTCTCATCTGAGAAGACTAATGCTTTCAGGTCAAGTCACATATCAGAGTATTTGAAGAGTGTTTAGAGAAGAAGAAAACATACCTCTGGTTCTAAAACAACTACAAGAAGATAATCCGAAGCAGATTATCAAAGGAGAGAGTTTAGGGGTACAAATAGTTGAAAGATAAACAAGCCATTGGAAAAGGAAAAGTGTAGCGTATGGAATCAGAAGGAGTGGTGAGCAAAACTGAAGAAAATTAGGCTTGTTATCAGGAAGACATAACGGTTTGATACCATACAGGTGGGTGTGCAAAATACTTAAGACTTTCTTCCAGCTCCAGAGAGTAACACTAAGTCTGTAGAGGTAAGATTTTAAACTGGTGCCCGTTTCCTGTGTCCATACTGACTGAACCATTGCTCATATCTGAAAACTTTGGAACTGAGACTCTTCAGAACCTCCAAAAGTTATAATTCTTATAGCTGATGCATCAGTTTTATTTTGGAACTAACCTATCTGTATTGTTTTAAAACCTGATGATCTAGGTCTTCTGGTGCCTTTAAGTGATACAGAACAGAAACATACAAAGATCAAGAAAGTACATACAGAATAATCGCTGTATAAGATGCATTTTTTTTCAGTATTACTTATGGATTAGTTGTTCAGGCTACATACCTGTTAGGTAGATTATGGCTTCCAAAAGAAGTGCTTCCACCAGGGCCCACAAATAATCTTAAACCTTCTTCTAAAAAGCAAGGGAATTAACATATGTTAGCTTCCTTTAATGTTGCCCAAGCTAAAACTAAGTCCTTTTAAATCTACCAGTTTTCTAAGGGATACTTTCAGATGCACATGTTTTAACTAATGAAGAGCCAAACTTCACGTGCTATGGATTGGAGAAACTACCTCCCTCGTAGAAGGCCCCTGCTCTTTTATTTTCAGACTTCAAGTAATTCTCTGGGTAAGTTACCCAAGTCATGCAATGGTCTTTCCAACTTCTGGGAGACAGGATGAAGCAGAAAACCTATTGATCCATATGCACAGTCCTTATGATTACAAGCAACAAAGACTATGAAGAGTGAATTTTCCTAAGGCCTGTAACGTGCATCAATTTTCTTTAAGCTTCCTTATTTATCTCCATACCTTCTGCACTTGAGTCTAAACTAAAGTCTTGACTCTGGAGTATTGTTTCAACTATATCATCAGCATCAACTCTGGTAGCATCGACCCTCTTCAGCTGTGACTCCACAGAGTCTTGCTTTACAGGATGTCTGCAAAAATAAATATATTTAGAGCTCTTAGAAGTGATATAGTAAGTTATGTTTCACTTTTGCTAGATAAGGCTTTCAAAGTTAAGTATACCTGCAGAGTTTTTCTGATGGTGCATCTTTAACGGATGTATCAGATTCAGCTTCAGCTACTTTTGGCTCCATGAATTCACATGGCTCTAGAATACTTCCAATTCCTGTAGAGGTACTGCTCACCGAGGTGTTCCTCCTGTGGCAGAGTTCAGACAGACTGGCTGATCTGGAGTGACACGTGCTGTATCCTGCTGGGAAAGTGCAGGAAAGCTAGGTTACCTGTATTATTGACAGCCAAAGTCATTACTTGTATTTTACCATCCTGAAAGCAGAATTTTTGTTTTGTTTTCTTAAAAAGAGAATTCAAAAGCCTTATGGCTGTATGTGCGTACACCAATTACACAAATTACTTTGGGTTTTGTATTCTAGCACATGCTGTCATCTTTTTGTTCTGAATAACTCTTGCTTCCTAACAAATATAATGACTTGGTGTCATTAATTCCCTTTCAGCTTTTAGAACTAGCTCTCTGTTTGCAAGTTGTTTTTACATGGGAGAGGTAAAAATCTCATTCAGATACGTTAATTGGAGGGAGCTAAGTGAAGAAGTAATCTCACTTCTGAACAGATAATCCATTGTTCTTTTAAGAGGAAAAAATATTACCCTCCCCACACCTGAAACTCCTAGGAAAAAGCTTTCAACTTCAAACCGTTTTTTTAAACATATAAAGTATACTTATTTTCTGTGGTCTAAAACTGTGAAAGTACATAAACTACAGCAGTTCATAACAAAATTGTTAACAGCTACCTGACAGTTTGGACTGCTGACTTGCATAGCTTGATGTTCTGGAATGTCCACACGCACCAAGTTCATCTGGGACCGAGGCACTCTTTGATGAGACATCTGCAACGCATGCACGTCAGATACTGTTGCTAAAGCCAGCTCTGTTATTACTTAGCCTGTAATCTTGATTAGACTCAAATGTCAGATTTCCCCGAGGGATTAGGGACTTGACACTGGTTTTCTACAAACCCTTTGAAGATTCAAGTAAAAATACCATGTATGTTAACAAATACGTATTCCTTAAAAAAATCATAATACGTTCAGTGAGTAAAACAGAGTACCATTGGGTTAGAAAGTTTTGTATGCAATGCAGTTTTAGATTTGCCTACACTGTACACATCAACGAGAACACCATGCTTACCATAGTAGAACGGCGTACTAGATGTCTTCTGGCTAAAAAAGTAACTGTGGTTAAGACAACTTAAGCTGTGTTTAGGGTAGAAATTAATAAGCTGTGTAAGAGCCTGAAGCTTGTAATAAA